GTTCTTTCTTTTTTTTTATTTGATTAATAATATTAATTCTTATACTGTATAAAAACTAGGAATTATACCTAACATTTGGTTATTATATATTTAGCTTAAAATTGCATATTTTGAGCTTATAAAGTAAAACAAAATTTTAAAAATTTAAGTGATAAAGGAAAAGAATTGCATTATTGATTAAAATGTGTATAAAAATAATGTAAATAGTAATAAAAACTACAAATATTTGTCGAATGTCAGAATGTTGCCTTAAAACAAAAACTAAATGTAACAATTAACCATGAGATAAATAATTTTTATCAAAGAAATGAATCTATCAAAGTAAAAACGTTTTAAAGCATGTTCCATAAAATTAATCCCTAAACAGATTATCCCTCGTATATTTCTATCTCCTATTTGTATCCTCGTATCTCCTTCTCTGTATTCTTTCGAGACGCCCCGAGTTAACTGGTGCGAAAATTAATTTTTTAACTTTGGTGTAAAAGAAGTATTTTGACTACTTAAGCGAACACAAGTTCACTCTGATGTTGTTCATCTAGCAACAGTCACTTTATAGCGATTTCATGCTGTTTTACAGACATTTCACATTGAGTCAAATACCTGTAAAACAGCATGAAATCGCTATAAAGTAACTGTTACCTGACATATTGGCGAGAAGCTGCTTGTTATTTATTGCTTAAGAACCGCTTGCTTTCTGTTATTTATTTATTTATTTCAAAATGTGTGAAATTGAAGACTATTTTTAGTGAAAATAGCTGCTATGTGTAGCGTATGATTTTGAAAGTTCTGTCGAGGAATCAGAGGATTGTAGTTTTTATTTTAATATGAAATTCAAATAATTAAGTTTATATTTGAGTTTCAGTAATGAAAAATGGATAAAACATGAAAAAATGTTATTCATAATTCTAACAATGCATATTTTCAATTTTAGTGAACAAAAAAATTGTGTAACTGAATATTAAAAAAAAAAAAAAAAAAAAAAAAAAAAAAAACTCATCATTTAAGGGGTTTAAAAAATCATGATTGTTTTGCAGGAGGGACTATGGTTCAGTGCCAAAAACCGTTCTGCTGGATATGGTGAAAGTATTGACGTTCGCTTTAAGTGAGGGAAAAGTAGCCATCCACAGTCACACAGGGCTGGGCAGGCCAGGAGTATTGGTGTCTTGTTACCTCATCTACACGCTGCGGTGCAAGCCAACAGATGCAGTAGCTTACGTCAGGGCGAAAAGGTATTATAATGGCTGTGAAAGCCATTTTTTCATAATATATAGAGAACATATTTTCATGATACTTATATGATTTGTAGTTATAAACTTTTCACTGTAGTCTGAAATTCATGCCTCAACGTTTATGTTTTGCTTACAAACATAATCGGGCAAACCTACTCGTATGAGAGTAAACAGTTATTACTTGATGTTAAAATTGCTTGGTTCCAGTGTGGACCATGCACGTAGTCCATGTAGAATAGCCCCACTGTAGCCCATGTACATCGTAAAAGGCTACTAAAATAGATACTCAGTGCCTAGGGGTATAGCCGGGTAGGATAAAGTCATACTTCACCCCTTGGGTGTCCCCATGTCTTTGTTCCGCAAGGACAAAAAGAAGCTGCATTTTTTACCCTTTGTCATGTCTCGGCGGTTTAACAAGGGTTGATGAACTTGATCTAGATGTTTCTGTCAACCAAATGGGATAAGAAATAACAACAACATAATTTCTTGGTACAATTAATAAACATGTGTAGCACATATTATAAATATTTTTCTGCGTTTTGTTTTATTGTAGCATCCTATGAGGCAATTCGTGTCCACGTAATCCTGAGTAAAATGTTCTTATATACCATTCTTAAATTCCGCAATTAAATTTTATCTAAACTCTTTATGATCATTTTGTAAAGTAAAAAATGACATCAATTTAGAAAAATATACTACCATTTATCGTAAAAAGAGCTGCTGTAATTATTTAAGCAATATTTATATCAATATTAATCTGATATTTATTAGACAAAAAGTTGAAACAAAGCGTAGTATCTTCTATAAACTGAACAAACCTTTTTCATAAACTAATAATATTATTGAACTTATTTTCCAAAGTTTTAACCACATGAATAAAAACTAATTAAAAATGGGTATTATTAGTATACTTAAAAATGTACTAAAGCTTTATAAACCAAAATAATTATATTGGTTCTGTTACTAATTAAAAATTTAAACTTTGTTTTATTAAATGTGAAAAAATAGTTTAAATAAATGATTATTTATTAAAATTTAAAAAAAATAGCCATAATAAGCTGTCAAATAAGCTGAAATATGAGATAATAAGCTTCAGATCTTATGCTGGCGGTTTGAATGTAACGTGTTTTGTTTTGTTTGACAATGATCTTTAGTGTGTATGTAATAGAAAAAATTTACTTCATTGTTAATTTTAAACAATGAAGTAAATTTTTCCATTACATACACACTTCAGAAATTAAATTTAATTTCATCTATTAAAAACAAATAATACAAAAATAAGGTTGCGTTTTCTTTAAAAACTTGTCTAAAACGTAATGACGACATCGTACTTATGCATTAAACCAAGATACAGTTTTGTATCTTGTTCTAATGTACACATAAATTTAAACAAATGTTAAGTTTTTGAGTTGATTTTTAAATATTCGATTTTTAAAACTTGTATGTTATTGCATAATATTATGATTCAAAAAATTTATATTCAAAAAAGTTATTAAATTCTTAAAATTTAGAAATATTTCTTTCATTGCCAATTTGAATGTTTTAAGGAAATTTTAAAAAAATGCATTTTATATTTTTATAATTTATATACAAAATGTGTAACCAATTTATATTGAATGCTGAATTGCTTCTTCACATTTAAATGATTTTTATTGGTGATGATTATTATGATTTTATTGGTAAATCATTTAAATGATTTTTTTTTATTCCTTATGGCAATAGGCTTATTATATGAGAGAAAGATAAATCTTTACCGAAAAATTTTCATTATTTAAAAAACCCATCATGGAACTTAGAGTGATGTGTATGTGAATTCATTTTTTCATCAACAACTGATATCATTCAATTGATAAACTGATTCATCAATTTTATAATTCAACAACTTATAATTCAAAAATTATTTCAGGCCTGGGTCAGTGCAAACCAAAAGCCAGGTTGAAAGCGTCCAAGGATTTGCTCAATTCGTTGTGCCCATGTTCATAGTTTTTGCTAATGTGTAAGAAGATTTCTTCTTTTCAAGCATTGAACGATGTAAAAATAATTATTGTGAACTAAATTATTATTTATTTTCTTCCTTAGGATACCACGAGACGATTATAGGATGAGTCTTAATGCTTATTTGAGGAGACAAAGATATCTTTTACATGGATTCGAAGGAAGATTGCTCAAACATGTACCTAAAGTAGGAACCTTTTTTTGAAAGATTTTCTAAAATTCTTTTGAAATATCGTTTTAGATTGATTAATTAAAATTCAAAATGTATTCTATTAATACCAACAATATAGTGTAGAATGTTCGTAGAAAGTTTTCTAGGTTTTTTTTGTAATTCTTTATTCTTTAAGAACAATTTCAGTTTGTTAATTGATTCTCTAAGAACAATTTCAGTTTGTTAATTGATTCTCTAAGAACAATTTCAGTTTGTTAATTGATTCTCTAAGAACAATTTCAATACTTTTTACTGATTCGCTAAGAACAATTGTGTATTTTGTGATTCTCTCAGAACAATTTAAGTTTGTTAACTAATTCTCTTAGAACAATTTCAGTTTGTTTACTGAATCTTTCAGAAATTTGAGTTTATTAACTGTTGCTAATCTTCAGCATTTCTTCATTAAAAAGGAGTAATAAATGGTAAGGAACTATTGCATAGATGTTGTCTATGTTAGTAAAGGGAGTCCAAATGAAAATTTATAAAGAAAGGCACTAAAAATGACATATTTTTTGTGTGTTCTATTCAAGTTTTCCCTTTCTTATTGTTGTTTACAAGAAAGTTGCTGTCATTTGTAATCAAGCTAGTCATTCTGTATTATAAAAGAAAAATACACACACTTACACACATTTCCAATCATATCTAATATTCATCTACTTCCACTCTTACAAACACCTCCACTCACTTTAGAGTCATAAATCAGCAATACCATAGATTTTTGTTCTGTTGTACTAATAAAATTCTAATTTATTATTGGAAATAGTACTAAGGGTAAAACCGATCATATTTAAATGTCATGTATTCTATCAATACCACTGAACTAATTTATTCTTTACAGCCTGTGTTCATGTTCTGTGAACGTCTGCTCTCTCTGATGAGAGACAACCAGTACACCCACCAGTGCCCACCTCTAGATATGGAGCAGCTCTTTAACGGTCCTAATCAGTTTCTCGAGTTCTTCTCTTCGCGATGTCGTCTGCTCAGGATCAAGTTTCCCGCCAGCAACAAACTTAAAGACAAATGGGCTCTCCAAATGCCCTACATGAACGGGATAGTGGAAGAACCTAGACACTGTGCCCCGCCATCACCTCCCAATGGAATTACAGGGGATCATGGACAAGACAACAGGCCTTTTTGGGATTCCCCGGATAGGTGTGTCTAATATTTTTTTTTTCCATTTCTGAATAAATATATTCTGGTACTATTATCAATAGTCTGATGGCTGAAGAACTAGCAGTTTTTGCACTAGCACTTTGGCTGAAGGATTTTTGTGTTGTTGTTTCTTATCCCACTTGGCTGGCCAAGCCCAGGAGCCCATACGTACTCATGATTGAAGAGGAAGGAAGCAGCTTCTGTTGTGATGGAGCACCCGTAGGTAGAAGTTTGACTTTGGCTCCGTGACGCTCTTACAGTCATAGGAGACCGGGACCTACGGCTTAAAGTGGATTCCGAACCATTACAAACATCCATGGCACCTCCGGGATTTGAACCCGAAACCTGTGACACCGAGCGCCAGAGCGCTAGACACTCTGACCATTCAGGTCCCAAATTTGTGAATGCCAACGCACGCGGTGTTCCCAGGTGGTCACCCACCCAAGTACTGACCGCGCCCAATGATGCTTGACTTCTGTGTTCTAACGAGAACCGGTAGGATTTTTGTAGTGGTTCGGAATCCACTTTAAAGATAAGTCCCATAGTTTACCTCTTTTTAGCAACCAAATCTAACATTATAGATGTAGCATGAGGTGCCTGATAAATATATTAATAGAAAAACACAAGAGGATAATTAATTATGTATCCTGAGTTATTAGAAAGAAGTTTTATAAAACAATTGTTAATTTTTTTAAACTGAATTCTAAATTTCTTATTATAAAATTTCGAATATATAGATTACTAACTATATTCAATTCTTGTGTTCATGTTATAGTCTTTCTTCGCCGGAAGAACAAGAAAAAGATCACCAGGCTTTTTTAAACCACATAGGAGGTTTCAAACCCATTTCGAGACTGATCTGGACTATCGCTTATCTGAAGATGAAGAGATAGGTAAAGAACCAGAGCTCGAGTACAACGATAAATCTCTCAGCAACGCCGAGTCTTCCAGCAACGACAAAAGACCCCCGAGCCCAGAAGAACCTAAAGAAGGCGAAGAAGCAGAAGAAGGTATTTCTGAATCATATTTTGCCTTTCTGACTACTTATATTTTTTATTATACTGGATTACAATTAAAGACCATTTGACCATTAATTTTACCATTATACCTTTCTATTGTGTTGAGAAAGGCATTAAAATTAATGGGAAAACTGTACACGGAGAACAGATATATAATTGGAAGCTCATACATGTAACCTAGAACAGATCATGAGTAAGTCAGCAGAACTCGGTGACTTTCATAGTAGCATGATCACTGGATGCAACTGTTCTGAAAAACTAATTTTTGGAATATAGGCCATTTTTGTGTGTGTCGAAATTTAATGTAAGTGATGTCATTGTAGTTTAACAAAGAAATAGCCTTCTAACAAGACATACGGAATATTGTTGTCATTGTTAAATAAAAAATAATGAAAAGGAAATAAAGCAAAATAAAATTCAGATAGAAAAATTTATGGATTGTAACAATGAATTGTGAACTTTTTATTTTAAATACAGTGTTGATGTAATCAGCCAGACGACTGGTATAAATCAACAATTGTTATAATTATCCCTAAAATCATTACTAATTAATATTTTTTTAAAATATTTTTTCAGACAAACAAAATAATGCGGAAGGGGAAGAAGAAGAAGAAGTGGAAGATGTAGACGATGACCCCTTAGAAGACCTGAATTCCGAAGAATGCAATGCCATCATCGACGATGTTTTGCAAGAATGCCCCTCGGAACAGAACACACCTTACATCAATGGAGTACAGAATAGGAGAGATATATTTGCCAATAAAGACAATAAAGGTAAAATTGTTTTTCTTGTAGACGACATTAACAAACAGCAAGTACAACATTGTGTGCATACAAAATGTCTTCCAATGTGTAAATTCGAATGTTCGTAGGTTGCTCCACTCTGTCCATCGAGGAGGAATGTCCGAAGCCCCTGACCAGCACTGCCCTCGTGCAGGCCTTGCTGGCTGACCATTACACTCTTGACACGGAGTTCGCCGGCCGCCTCAGAAGGTACCAACGTCTACTCAACAGCAGAGCCACCGCTTGGGACAAGATAGCCAAGGAGGTGGATCCTCTCATATTATCCGCATTGCTGTGGAGTTGGCTAGACCTACTCAGGGTCAGGAATTATTTACTTTCATATGAAATTTCTTCATAAAAAAAATAATAAGACAATATTTTTGACAAACTTAAGCGTAATATTTTATTTCATAGGAGCCTGTACTCAACAAAAATGACCTTTCTATCATCGTGATACGAGCTGAGAAACCTTGGGAAATTTTAAAGAGACTAGACAACGTGAGTCCTTTGTTAGCATATACAATAATATCACGAAAACGTGAACTAATTATTTGATATAAATCGAATATTAAATGCTATTGTCTTTTTTAGAAACACGGTATTATATTGTAAGTAAAATTAATTAATTTTTTAAGTCGATCTTAATAAAAATTAAAACAAAAGAGAATTGGAGATGATGATCGCCATTTTTTCTATTCATTTTATTTCTGAACTTGAAAGCAAAGTAATAAAGTGAAGAGCTTTATTGGATTGGAGTAGAAAATGTGACTGAAACTTAATATGACATTTATTGGTGTGACAATTCAAAATACTATCCGCATTATTTTATTATTTAAAAAACTCAATTCTATTGCATGATACGAAAAACTGAAAATCTTACAACTTAAAAAAGCATAACTTTCTTTTCCTCACCAATGTTCCATGAAGTTCATTCTATCCAGTACAACATTACTGTGAAAACTCTTAAACAATATTGTTTTTACAAAGTTATTTAAGATTGCCCTTTTTTTTATATTGTGCAATATGCCTTCATTATTTAGATTTCTTTTTTGACACAGGGCACCCGTTACACAACGGAGTACTTGGTGCGCTTCATAGCTCGCCTGCAGCCCAAATCTACCATGGTTCGCAATGATCTTCTGCGCCGCCTGGTGGCATCGCTCACACACCAGTGCCTGGGGATCCAGGGCACCCTTCGCCCTGTCGGCAAGGAGTGGAACAAACTGAGACAAGGGACAGCGGGTCAACTGATGCTTTTCATAGACGCCATCTACGACATGGCGACGGGGGAAGTGAACTCAAACCCACCGGGCCTATGATAAGGCAGTCATACAACAGAATGGAAATAAGGCTGGAGAGTTAGATAGACTGCATATTAATTTCAAAATTTAGTCACCCTTTTTTAATATTTTTACATTTTCTTAATACAAAGAAGAATATTCTTTCATTGCAAAATATATAATAATAATAACAATTGTTGTTTATTAACAAAAATTAACAATTGTTGTTTATTAACAAAAATTAATAATTATTTATTATTAAAAATTAATTTAAATTAAATAGGCCGATGAAAATGTTATTAATTTTAATTAAAATTAATTGTATGGATTAAATTAAAATTTATTGTATTTTAATTAACGAAATTTTAAAATAATTTTGATGGAAAAATTTGCTATTTTTATATGAAAAGGCAACAAAAAAGTATTTTGTTACATAATAATTAAAGAAATTAACTAATCATGCTTCATCGCTTTAGTACATAATTATGTAATAATTAATAGTTGAATACTTAAGTCAACAGCAAATTTCAATGATTTGTTAATCAAATAATGTAGTTAAAAAATAACTATTTGTGTATAAAAATTGTATTTTTAAATTTAGAATATAAAAAGTTATAAACTTATTTATTTGTCAAAAAACGGAAATTTTCTGTAATGGAAATTTTGCGATAAATCTCTAAAAACGTATTTTATTTCATATAATCTCTCCAGCTTTTCTTCATTCTGGAAACCATCTGTGATTGAACGGCGTGTTGTCCGTGTCTCTTAAAAACCTTTTAAATGTGTCACCAGATGGCCAAAGCTCCATTCACTTCCATTCCAAATGGACGATTTGTTTTTGTTTTTATCAACCCAAAGTGCCTCTTTCGAACCAACTTCCAACGATCTTCTTTCATTGTATGTACCATCATCTATCCATCAATGTACAGAATCTTTCTTCTCGACTTTTTGATTTTATAATCCCCCTTCAATCATTTTATCACTTTAGCATGACAAACAAAAATCCATATCTCATCAGAAAAAGAAAAAAAATATTTTCTAAGATTGTTCTCGTCAAAATTATTTATTTATACCTAAGTATGATTAATCGATTGTTATGTAGTTAGGACATTCGATTATTATCGTTGAAGCTACATGATTAGATGTATGTTGAAGTTTATAATTAACCTCTTCAGGGACAAACCCTTTATTGAAGAAAAAAAAAAATGTACGTTTAATTTCATTCATTTTATAATGCAGTATTTCAGAGGAGTCAGTAAAAAACTATATATATGTAATTTTAAGTTAAGCCCACACATGTGACCAAAGAGTAATAAAATAAATTGTTGATAAAATGATTTAATGGCTTCATATATAGTATACCGTCTTTTTTTCCCTTTAGAATAAGTGTTTTTTTTTAAAGAAATAGCATTAGAAATCATGTGTTAATGTCCCTGAAGAGATTAAATTCAAAAGGGTTATTTTGAATTACAATCTAACATTGCTAGGTTGATGATTCTTTGAATTGGTTAATTGCATTGATCCCGCTGAAATGTTGTCTTAAATTCATTGCCAAAATAATTTTATTACAAAAGTTTATTTCACATAGAATTTTTTTTAAAAAATATATCGTTGATTATTATTTTTGCCTAAAATATATTAAGGGGAATTTATTTAGAATTTAAAAATCAAGGAATAAAATCCATTATTTTTTATAAATTCATTAAATTTTAAGTGTATGTTTCTAAATAAACTTCATTTTAATTAAAAATCAGAATTTTTTTTTTTTTTTTTTTTTTTCGTATGGAAATATACAGTGAAACGTTTAAAATATCTTTAATACAGTAATTTTTATTGTGAGAATTTAGTTCTGACGTTCAATAATTTGAATTTTTATACTGATATTTCAGTTATTATATGATATTACTATTATTATTACTGATTATTATTATTATTACTGTTATTTAAGTTATTATATATATATATATATATATTTCTACATAAAAATGGAAAGCTCAATGAATTTGAATATAAAAGGTACATTTAATTGTATTTAATATGATATTCAAAGTTTTATTTTTCTCATTTATATCAGGTTTTTTTCCCTTTTATCATAAAAGTTAGAAAAGCATTTTTTTTTAAAGAGCTTTTATTATAAGAGGTATATAGTTTTTAAATGAATAAATGTAGTTATTTAATTGAATAAAAGAATTTTATTCAATTAAATAAATATATATATTTATAATTTATATATATATAATACTATATTTGAAATTATATTTAAGATTACATAAAATTTTAACTGGGTTGAGAAAATACATATGTCCTTTAAAAAAATATTTTTGAGAATGAATCCAATTACTTTATGCATGATTATTCAGTCTGAAATACTTTAAATTCTTCTGAATTCTGAAGCCTTTATTTCTTTCTAAATAAAGT